TAGGATTGTTTAGAATGTCCCTGTGACACTCTCATCAGCAGGGAAGGATCGAAGTGCCTCAGAGGAGTTAAAACATACCTGGGTTCAGCTCTGCCCAGGGACATGGTCCCTCATATCGCAAACCCAGCAGCCTCACTAGTCTTTTATCCTAGCAGTTCCACATCTTAGGAATCAGCTGTACTTTCCCAGGCAGCTCAGAAACAGGCTGAAGCATGGTGAGCATCACTTGTTCTAGAAGAAGAAACCCTGTATTTTTAGGCACTAATTCATTTGCTTTTCAGAGCACTCTGATGCAATCACAGAATGCAAATACAAACTGCTGGAGGCACAAGACATCTGCCACAGATGACAGTAACCTGGGAAAGAGCTGGAATAACATCCCCTGCTTTGGTGCCTCGCTGGGTCTGGCTGCATATCCAGCTGAAACCGCAAGTGCTGCTCAGCTCCTGCTAGAGGGAAGAGGAGGTTCTGTGCCTGGTGCAGGAACATGATGTGACAGGAAACCTTTAAAAACAACTGCGGAGGTGACCTATGGCCACATTTACAGTCATTTACAGCTCTGCAGATGTTAGAGAGGATCAAGCTTAGGGACAAAGACAAAATACTTGTGATTTAAATGTTGACTAGTGAAAGACATGCACTGTATCCAGGGTGCGGTACAAGAATATGGATTGTGACCACGCAGGCAAAGAATCTTTTGCCTATTGCAAAACGTTGTTTAGCAGGAAAATTGTATATAAAATCCATTGAAAATGGATTTACTGATCCAAGGAAGCTACTGCAATTGATTTAATTTTCAGCAAAGAGCACAGAGGAAAAACACTAACTCCATGCGAGAATGAAGAGAAAAGCTTTTAGAAATCAGCATCAAAACGCTGGGTTTCACACAAAGTGGGGATGGGGGAGAGCTGCACAGCAAGCTTCAGCTAGGCCAAAGGAACTCTGGAGATGAAGGTTTCCTACAGCAGTCAGTAGGCAGTCATGGTGCGTGGCTTTGGAAAGGGCTGAGCAGGTTACACTGAGAGGGTGGATGAATGTGGACACCCCGCTGCTGACATGGTGTTTGTGAGTGTTGGGCGGTTGGAGTGAATTCAGCAGTGTAGAGCATAGGAGAGGAAGAAATGAAAACCTTGGCAATGGCTTACATGATGAAGGGGAAATGAAAGTACCATTGATGGCCTCAACCAAAAAGCCTAACTTGCCCATGTTAGCGCTATAGACATAAGCAAAACCAGCCAAGTGAGGAGCACAGATTTCACCAGATAACAGTGTTTAGGACAGAAAAAAGGTAAGCTCTCCCAACCAGGACTCCCACAAATCACTGTCTTCAAGGTTTCTGGCTTCACCTAAACCCAAACCTTGAGATGATAAATTAAATCATAGAAGTGTAATGGGCTCATACAACATGGCCACAGCTATTTCAGTTTATAGTTCACCTGACTTCAGCTCTCATTCTTTCCATCAAAATATTTAAGTGGTTTGAGTACAACACTGAATCCTAGAAACACAGAGTGGTTTGGGAGGGACCTTAAGAGCATCCAGTTCCTACCCCCTGCCACAGGGACGGTGGAATTGTTTGGAGGCCCCCATCAGGTGTTAAATGAAAATGTTAATCCAGCACAAGGCTAAACTAGAGACTTCTGAAAGCTGAACCCTGGGCTGAACGCAGGATCATACAGAACTAGAGTCCTCTGTGCTCTTGGTTCAGATTTGGGCTCTGTCAGTAGGGACAGAAATGATCAGCACTTCTCAATGTGAAAAAATGTATTGAGCCCCAGCTTCAACTTTGACCTACTCAGGGACAGTACATTCCCTGAACACACCCATCTTGGCAATACACAGTCTCATCCTGGCTTGACAGTTTTTGTGGAGAAGCCAAGAAGTCAGTAATGGACCCTTTCTATGCATGGACCCTTTCTACATCCTAAACAATGCCAAATGCTCCTCTTGGTGCTGCGTGTATGGACATAGCTGAAAGCAGGCGGTAACCTCTGGAAGGGTTTGTCAGTCTGGTACCACCACTGAACACTACAGCTACTGATTTTTCTTATCTAAAGGACAAAATATAACCCACAGAAATAAGGCTTGGAAGGTGCAGCTCCGAAACACTATTGTTGCCTCAATGGCACTCAGAGATCTGAAAACCACAGATGAGAAAGGAACTTGTAAGCCTCTGTTTCGAGAAATACAGCAGGAAAAATGTGAGCTGAGCTGACAGAAGGTTAATGGTGAGTTCAGCAGAATCAGAAATTGTCTTGTATTAAAGCCACACACGTTTGCAATGGTGAGACCAGGCAGTGTTCTCTTCACGAAACCGTGGAAGGAAAGCAGGAGGAAAGACTGAGGAGTGTGTGACCATCCAGCTGCCGCAGGCACACGCAGTCCTGCGGCCTCACATGTGCAAGGGCTGCTCCATCCCGGGGCAAGAACCCACGGAGCACACTCGCTGTGTGTCCCTTTCCCAGGGAACAGGCCATTGAAAGATCCTTCTGCCTTTAGCACGCTGTGGGCCTAATGAAAGGCAACTGCTATTTTAAGGTTTCACAAGGAGTTTTATAACAAAGAGGAGTTGCAGACACCATCCCCATTACCGCCAGGCTTCCATCCTCACTTTCATCTTCCTCACTAAGCTGGCTCTCAGGATCTTTTACAGACAGCAGGAGCCATCAAATGAAGGTGAGTCACTCAAAGGCTTGGCCCAACCATGTTCAGCTGCTGTGGCTTAAATTAAACAGCTACTAAAATGGTCTCTTTTTTATTAAAGTGCTATAATCATTGTGGCTACAATCCCTCACTGTGGTGTTAGTAGTAATAAGCTGATACGTGTCACCGTTGCTGATAGCTGTCAGAACTGGAAAGCAAAAGAAAACTCCCAATTATTCTCTGAATGGAACGATAACCCCTTATCCAGGGCAGAGACATGAAAGATTCATTTTCCCTCTGTTCTTTCAAGCCATATTGCAGATTTATTGAATGCATTATGTGCCTTGCATCGGATTTCAGAACTCACAAAGAGGGTTACGAGCTATGTGATACTTAAGGCAAAAAATGCGAGGCTCCTGTGAAGCCACTGGCAAAACTTAACACAAAGTTTCCCTCTTGGTCTTTCTCTTCAATTGTCCTGAAGGTTTTCATCCTGTAATAGTGCCTGTGGCTGACTGGGACTCGCGCTGCAAACACGACTTCTGCTCTTGCTCTGGAAACCTTCAAGAGTTAAGCTACTCCCAGCACCACTGCTCACATCAGCCACACTGATGCCCCTACAGCAAATTATCTTGTGACCCCACAAGTAGGATCTCTGAAAGTTCTGTGAGGCGATGATGCACTTGTCAGCTCTCTGGGGAGAGAATGTTTTGCCTTTTCTTTTGTGGAACACATGATTTAAACCCTTCAGAGCAGAACTATTCTCCTGACAGCCAGCAGGAACAAGCACATCCGGGTCTTTTGCTGTCCTAAACCACTCGCACAGGCTGCAGCATTCGGACGTGGGCTCTTGGCGTGCACCACGGCTGAGGCAGGGACTGCAGCTTCAAAACAAAGCATCTCCCTCCTCTGAGCCTCACCGTCTGGTGGCCTGAAAGGATGCTGTGAAGGGGTGGAGGTGTATGGGGAGAGCCACGGAGAAGAGGAGGATGCGTGAAGCCAGGGTGAGGAGGAGACAACCTTGGCTGTAAGAGGAACACATCAGCAGTAACCTCCTACCCGGCGCTGATCACAGCCATACACGTGGCTGCACAGCCCAACACAGCAGCAGGGCCCGTGGTTGCAGTGCTGGGTGCAGCCATTCCTCTGCGCTTGTGGCAGTTTCAGTGCGAGCTGATGGGTGCTCTTGGGTAAATACAGCAAAGTGTGCTAAAATCTGCAGTCAGAGTATAAAGCAGAATTCGTGCTGCTATTGCTAACCTGGGGCACATAAATCCCAGATTATGGTTTGTAGGCTGCATTTTTCAGCCTAAAATAAAGAAAGGTGGAGTTTCTTTTGCATCAGTGCTGTGATTTGCTTCCTCAGCCTGCAGGGGTATGTTTTTCTTTTGTTACCACAATGGAGTTATTCTTTCATTGAAGAAATCACTTCAAGAACAGGTACTCCTTCCTGCAATACGCTTTTGAACCCAAAGTTCTTGGGCACTGAGGGAACTCAAGATGTTATCATTGTACACATGCCAGGCTCTCCAGTTCCCTCCCTGCCTGCAGGCTGGGCTGTTCCCCTGGAGGTGCCAGAACATGCTTGAAAACTGCTGCTGCCTCATATTCCCTCAGAATCCCACACCAGAACCGGGCACAGTCCAACAGCCAGTCTAATGCTTAGCTCAGTAAAGGGGAAAAACAGCTCTACAAGGGCCTGTAGGGACAGGACAAGGGGAATGGCTTTAACCTGCCCGAGGGGAGATTGAGATGAGCTCTTGGGCAGAAGCTCTTCCCTGTGAGGGTGCTGAGGCGCTGGCACAGGGTGCCCAGAGAAGGGATCTATTGAAGACATCCCTCCTCACTGCAGAGAGTTGGACTAGATGAGCTTTGAATATCCCTTCCAGCCCAAACTATTCTATGAAAACAGGTGAAATTAATTAATGTTTTGGATTCATACTCATACTCATACTGGAGAAATACCCTAGACAGCAGAAAGCATGGAAAAGCCATCCCACAGGAGCCCTTGCGCAGGTGGAGTGCAAGCAGCAGTGTTCAGACAAGCTGCCAGCCGGGGAAATCACTTCACAAGGCTGGCTGCTGGCTGCTCAGTCAGCTGAAGTGTACTAAAGCCTCCAGTGGACGTGGAAGCCTCTTGTTGCAGTTCCCAGCCCAAGTGGTGCAAACAGACCTTCCTCCAAGCTCCACCAGTGCTACTGAGGTACCACTCAGACACCAGGGCCTGTGGGTGCAGGGGAGGCTGCAGAGCATCGCTGCTGCTGTGGCTTCGCATCCCCGGAGTGGTTAGGGCAAAGGAAGAGGCTTACCTGTTCAAATCGCGATGTATGATGGGCTGGGTGAGGTTGTGGAGGTACTCCATGCCTTTGGCAACATCTACAGCAATGATTAACTTAGACTGCAGATCCAGAGTTCTGTATGTTGAAAACAACAACCAAAAGAAATCACTCAAAATGAATAAATGGACATAAATTACATGTAAATTATTCTTATCTGTCCATCATGGAACCTTTGCAATTGCTTTAAATACAAAATAATGTTACATAAGCCATGTTACGTAACTGTAGATAATGTGGAATAATGACAATAATATTTTTGTGATGACATTAATTTCCCTTGTACATCAATAATGTACATCACAGCTAACATTTTTCTTGTGTGTTCCTTCCTCTATTGCTTTGTATTGAAATGCTAATTTACATGGGCACAGGTTTACCAGTCACCCCAATCTGTGCCCCCAGCCCCAGCAGGGATGGAGAGGATACCTCTTCTGTTCATGGAGCAGGGAGAAGAGCGACCCCCCCGAGATGTACTGAGTGACAATAGCGAACTGGCTGGGGTCGTCCAGGCAGGCTCCCACAAACTGGATCACACATGGGTGGTTCAGGCGGCACAGGATGGAAACTTCGCGGCAGAACATGTCCACGTCGGATTTGGAGCAGTACGTGTTGGCTCGGTAGCTGAGAGTTCACAGGAGGGGGACAGTGAGGCACAAATAGCACAAAATAGGGGGTGTCAAGGCTTCAAGGTGGGTCACTGCCCAGCCAGGTGGAAATCTCTGATGAACTCACCGTTTGATTGCCACGATTTTATTTCTGCATCGTCCTTTATACACTTTTCCAAAAGACCCTAAAATGGTTTAGAATAAGTAAGCACAAAGTTATTGATCATGAGCATCAGATATTTCAAATGGGTGCATCAGGCACTTCAAACGGGTACATCAGGCATTTCAGAGGGGAGCATGCTTCCTCAGGTACCTGAGCCGATGATCTCATGGAACTCCAGCTCTGAGAGCTGCAGATGGAAGTGTGATGGCAAACCAGCACGGAGGAGGAGGACATCTGCCTTCTCTACAAGGGAAAACACTTGTCCTGTTGCATAGTGTGGGTTGTGGGGAAGGGCAGAACATGAGGATTTACCCTCACACCCCCACTGTGCTGTGAAAGCTGCTTTCTTCCTATAAATCCTATCCCCTTTTCTTTCAGTAACCACAGGAAAACCGGTAATAGACCAATACTTGCAATGGCTCAGCTGCTTGGGGCTTTCTTGGCTCTCAGTCCTTATCCCTGATGACCACTATCCCACGGGAATATTCTGCCTTCCCATCTGATGGTTGTGTAAAACTCTTTACAGACAGAATTAGCTCCTGTTTTCCTGTACAGCTCATCACTAATGCAGCGGGTGCTATTCCAGATCTGACTGACCCTTTAGAGTCAGAGGGAATGTAACTCTTGCAGCTTCATTTCGTTAGCAAACATCTCCACCTTGTTGATCTTTTCCATCTATTATATAAAGTTTATCAGAATATTTCCAAATGGAATGTTCCAGCAGTGCTGTGTAAGGGATGTCAGGATTTCATTATACCCACGGTGCATATTTGAAGTGGAAAATTGAAAGCACCACAAAAAAAGAAATATTTCAGAATACAAATATTCATCTAAATGTTTTATCTATTTGTGTTTCAGGTTAACACCAATTATTTTTGGATAGAATTTTTCTTGTAAAGATAATCCAGGCATTTTACAGCAGAGTTCAATATGGTATTTGCCTGCATTCACAGGTGTGTGTCTATTGCTTTGGTGCTGGATTACAATCACATCCTTTTCTCCAAAGAAATAAAAAAAAATGTATTTTTTAAAGTAAACGAAAATAAGATGAATACAGGAATTATCGTGATGTTGGGGAGCCAAGGTAAGTATATTGTTTCCTACAGTCACCCTGGGGAAATATTGCTGCCACTCATGCCCATCATTACATTTCTGACCACTTAAAATCCCAGGAGTAATGAATCCTGTGCAGTGTGTTTAGGCTGACGAACACCGTGGGTAAAATGACCATAAAAGTTCAAGTTTTCCGCTGGCATTAAAATACCTTTCGTCATGCTTTTAATCTTCCCTAGAGGGGATGGAACTGACACATAGGAACCATCTGAAACAGAAGAACAGAATCAGTTTCGTGGAGCTCAAAGACAGCAGAAGCATCTGTACTGATAAATTAATGAGGCAGTGATTGCCAAAGAACCAATAATAAAGGGCTGGACATACACATGAGCACACTGACAGATGTGGTTGTGGGCTGGGCTGGGCTGGTCTGGAGTTAATCTTCACAGTAGCTGCTGTGAGGCTGGTTTGGGTTTGTGCTGGGAACAGAACACACTGCAGTGGTTTATTTATCCAACTCTCGCTTTAACATTCTTCTCAGCACTTGTCATTTAGTTGCCAATACAAATGAGTGTTTTTGTAGCAAAAAGGGTGATTAATTCTTCCCAAGGGGGAATTAGATAGCCACAGATATTAATAAATACAAAGGGGACTAAACATAGAAACCTACCGGGTGTCAGCAATCAGAAACATCAGAGCTAAGCACCACAACAAGAATGGCCAGACAAGGTATTACGATGGGAAAAGGCAGGAGTAGTGATTACAAGGGATTGATCTTCATCTCATAGCTTCAACTTTTCTTTCTAGCGACTGCTACAAAGTGACAACTCTATTTCGAGATAGAGGAAGACTTTTCACACATCCAGAGTACCTGTGAAATGGTGATTCTCATGACACTGATTTTATAGTGGGATAAAAATATACACCTTAGAGAGAGAGAGCCGGGCCTACAAGAGTGGGTGTCAAAAGGATGGGGCCAGACTCTTTCCAGTGGTGCCCAGCAACAGGCACAAACTGAAACACAGGAAGTTCCACTGGAATATGAGGAAAAACTTCCTGACTTTGGGAGTGGCGGAGCACTGGGACAGGTTCTCCAGAGAGCCTGAGAAGCCCCCTTTCTGGAGGTAAACCCGGCTGGGTGTGATGCTCTGCGACCTGCTCCAGGTGAGCTCTAGCAGGGGGCTGGCCTGGATGATCTCCAGAGGTCCCTACCAGCCCCAGCCACTCTGTGATTCTGTGATTTCAGTGGTCTTTGGATCAGACCCTTCGGTCAGAGAATAAAGTGATTTCTCAGACCATACCTCCTCCAGGTTGCGAGTATTCATTGCAGGGGGATTCATCTTGAGGTCTCTTATAATGCTTCAGAAGGGTCACAATGGCATCGTGACCTAGGGAAGAAAGAGGAAGTCTAAAGACGTGCTGGTAAACCCAACCGTCTTCTTTTTTTAATTGGTTTATACAAAATTGGGGGATTTGTACAAAATGGTAAAATGTGCCCAGAAAACCTGTAGACACAGATACAGCTGCTCATCAGAGCCATCTGGGATCCTTAACTACGGAACTGTGGGGAAATACCTGCCAAGGAAAACAGGGTCGTATTGTCACCAGTCCACCTAATCCTAAAACGTGAGGTATGGCAATAGAACAAACCCTGCTACAGAAAGCCTGCAGTGGAAGCCGACAGTGCTCTTCAATAGGCCTTACAAGCACAACCAGTGCCTGAAAGTATTTCCATTTTGTTGTCCTAAACTGGACTACATTTTTTGCCAGTATCAGGTTTTTGAACGGCCGTTGAAATCCACAGCTCTTTGTTAGTCATTCGCATAATAAAGGGTGCTGCTTTTGGAGGAGGGGGAATGCACTGAAGTCACGGAGTCAGAAGCAGGACAGAAGACTGGCCCGTGTAGGACAGTATAAAAGGAGCCATGGAAGCTGCCTTGCTGTGATCCATGTCTGCAAGAATTTAAGACTCTGCTTTATCACTCTTTCAGAAACAAAGCTACAACTCATGCACACACAGAGGGAGAAACAGCCTCTGCTGAGCAGGCTGCATCTTTTCTATTTTAGCAGCACAGGAACAGCCCTGTCCTTGAGTTTGTGCTGAATCAGGCTAATGCTTAACAGAGTGTCTGAGAAGGTAAATAAAAGAGCTGGGTTTTATAACCCTTCATGCCAGGAACCAGAAAGCAGATGATGAGAGCTCTTATTGTACAGGGACTGAGGGTTTTTTCTGTAGTGTTCCGTCCTTTGCTGTTCTTTCCTCCCTGTGCTGTTCCTATGGATTTTCATAGAATCATAGAATAGTTTGGGTTGGGAAGGACCTTAAGATCATCTGGTTTCAATCCCACTGTCATGGGCAGGGACACCACACACTAAACCATGTCATTTTGTAGCAGAAACTAGAAAGCCAAAATACCTTTCTCATAGGCCCACATTAAACAGGTCTGCTCATCCTTTTCTCCACTGGACCTGCTGGGATCACAAGCTACCAGGTTCATATCAGCTCCATTATCCAGTAAAAACTGTACAAGTCGAATATGGCCATGGTAGCAAGCACAGTGCAGTCCTAGAACATCAGAGGAGTGTGGTAAGCACAGCTGCCAGAACATCAGAACAGGACTCGCAGCAACAACTATAAAGCACAAATTGATTTCCTACATAAAGGAATATATTATCAAAAAAGCATCTGAGGCTATAGGTGAAAATGAAATAGGAACATTGCAGGAACCCCTCTACTGCCTGCACACAAGGTGTTAGCATTTACTCTCCCACCTGCAAATCACACTGAACAACTTTGTACGTGAGGAGAAGCAAGCGGAAACAAAGGTGGCTCTTTTGCTGCTGCCTGTGGCAGGGGCATGGAGGTGTGCTGCCCTTCAGACACCACGTCCTTCATGCCTGGGCCTAGAAGAATAATACTTGGGCCCAATTCCTGAACCTACTTAGAAGCCCAGCTATGGAAGAATCAGTTTACATCAGGTTTGTTACTCATATACAAGCTGATGAGCCTGACACATCCTCATTGAAACCTTGTCACCGCTACCACGTGTGTCTGCAAATGTATTCCAGAGGAGCTGAGATCTGTCTGAAGGGTAACTGGGTGCTGACCATCGAATTGCCATGGGAGTTACATGGAAATCCTCACTGTGTGTGGCTTCCCGACTGTTTGGTGCTGGAACACACCCTCATACCCCATAAGGATGTTGATGTTACCTGTGTGCCCATCTCTTCCCTGGTGGTTGATGCTTACAGCGTTCTGGTCCAGAAGAAATTTTACAAGTTCTATGTTCTTCCCATAGGTGCAAGCACTGTAAAGTAAAGGGAAATGTGAATGATGCAGTCCATAAAAGGTAGTCCAAAATTAAAAACTCATTACACAGAGATAAATCATTACACAGAATAAAGGATCTTTAGAACTGTGCAAATGCATGGTTCACCCACCAATGCACGTTCATTCCGTTGTTTCAGGGACATTCTAGTTATTGCTGTATAAATCCATTTTGCACAGCTATACAAAGTCTGTTTTGCAAAGTGCCTCTTAAATGACGCTTTACAAACTCAGAGCATCAGAATCAAACTGTTCAGCCACCTCATTTCTCATTCAGGGCATCTGGACTACCTGGTTCTACCTTCACGTGCTCTCCTGTACCCCCAGATGTAATCTTACCATCCACGCCGAGCTCGCTGCATGCTTTGTCCTCGCCTGGCTGCTGGTAAGACAGTTGTAACTCTGGGTGTTGTACCACATGCACATGCAAGCGTAATGCTGCTGACAATGGCATTTAAACATCTCACCTGTGGAAAGCCGTTTCACTGAATATGTTTTCTTTAGTGAGACTTTCAGTTCCTGAGAGCTGAATCATTTCCTTCACAACCTCGAACTTCCCGTTGTAGCAGGCACTAGAGGTGAAGTAAAGAGCTGTTAACACTGCCAGCTTTCCCATGAGCCTAACTTCCCGACTGTAAACCAGGCAACTCAGAGCTCACAGGTGTAAAGGGGTGTCTCCATAGATATTCACCACATGGGGCTGAACTTCAAAGCTGCTCTGCAGTAAGAACTTCACGATTTCATGGTGTCCAAATCGACAGCAGAAGTGCAGAGGGACGTGGTCTTCGTTGTCCTGAGCATTCACTGCCATTGGACCCGCAAAGAGACCAAAGGAAGAATTTTATACTTAACATAGCTTGTTTGAGGCAATTAGTAATGAATGTTTTAGTTGTTGTGCCTATAAGTGCCTATATGTTTTGAAACGTCCTGCTAAAATATTTATGGTCCTATTTCTTTTAACTGGATATTTCTGTGAGCTTTTCTCACAGACCCCACATTACTCAATGCCATCTGTAGTAGTCTGCCAGGGTGGTTTTCTGGACTTGGGGTGTAATTGCTTTCTTCCAGTAGCAGATGTATTGAATGTCTTGATGTAGCTTTCCATAAATGATTCATGAGTTATAAGTGGCCCTTAGAAAGGGCAGTTGTGAAGCAAAAGTAAGATACATAGCTACTATGTGTAAGAAAGCAATCCACAGGCTTACTCCAAATGCATGGAACAATAGTTATTGATTACAAATACTATTAATAGACATGCTTTGTTGCTGCTTACAGGAAGGAAAATGCAGATGGTTTTAGGGTTTATGTTAGCTTCCTTGAGAAGCAGGATCATGGCTTCTCAATGTAGTTATACAGTGACAAAACAGAAACAAAAAATGAAGGAAACACAATAAGGATGTATTTATCATGGTCACTATTAAAATATAAATGCATAAAAGGCACGAAAGGAAGAGGAGAATTCATTCAAACATCCAGATTTCCACTGCTCACTGGTGTCCAGTGACAGGTAACTCCAAAGGTGAATTCTGTTTCAGGCCAAAGAAGAAAACTAAAAGGAATTCCCTTAACTTATATTAAGCTTGTGGCTCCCAATTTCATTAACTGCTTCCACCAGCCTTCCTCGCAGTTGTATTTTAAAGAGAGTGAAGAAAAGTAAACAGTTTTATTTCTCTATTCTAAAATAATTCTTCACTTTATAGATTCATGTGACATGTTAGCATTTGATTTTTATGCAACTGCGGTACCAGACACAGCTTCATTCTGAGGTGCAATAAATAAGAGGGGAATAAATGTCAGAGTTTTATAATAACAAATGTCAGTGTGTTGGAATATGTACCCACGGAATGGTCTGAAGGACACTGAGGGTTCCAGGGCCATGAGCTTCTTTGACACAATGAGGTGTGAGGTGGAGCAGGGAAGGGAACATGAATCTTCTCTGTTTATGCAGCTGGAAGGAGATCAGCTCAGCGTGGGATGATGGGTCTGTTTAATTGATAGCTTCTTGATTTCTCTATGAACCACAGCACAGAGAATGGAACATTTCCAGGGATGGAAAACGGGCACCGCAAGTCTGGTTTAAACGACTGAGGGAAACTGCCCGGGACCCAGCGAGTGGGAACTGGTGAAGACTGGGAGACTCACAACTGGACGTGCCGGATTCTCAGCGTCAGGCTCTGGCTTCGGATCTAAAATTGATTATATTCGGCAGAGGTGACAGTGATTTTCAAAGACACTTGAGAGAAGAGGACAAGCAAGTCCAGGCAGCTCAGTGCTCCTGAGAGCACCAGATTTCATAAGAGACTACAGGAATTACACAGACAAAGAATGTATTTTATATCACGTGGTCCCTGAAAGAAACCTCCAGGACCAGCAGTTTGAAGAATAATAAAATACAGCAGTTGGCTCACGTGAAGCAAAGAAAGTGTTTGTTTCCTGGCCATGAAATAGTTCTCTGAGTTCACAGATAGTCTGTTTCTCAATGACCCCATCAGGCTACACAACAGTATTTAAATACAATTTTTTTTCTTTCATTGGAAAGTAGCAGTTTTGGAGTCATGCAAACACCTACCCTGGGAGCCCTACAGACAAGCATCTGAGAAGTGATTATTGCCAGGCCCTCCCTGGTCTCAAAGAAGTGAAGCATAAAGAAAGAGTGGAGCACACTGAGATTCTAAATCATCATTACTTCTTCAACCACCCTCAGCTCTCGGTCACCCATTCCTTTTTCTGCCGGAGGGCTGGGACACCATCAGGAGTGTGGCTGCACCATCAGCCCAGCTGATAACACAACAACAGGACATCACCACAACTCTTCATTTTCAATGATCAGGTTACCTTTAACCATTCTGTGATTCCTTCATGGAACTGGCAGGTGGGACTGATGACCAGCAAATAACTAGGTGACTTGGGCTCTGGTTCCGAAATGAGCTCCTGACACCCAAACATACACCCTTCTGCTTACCTAAAAGGCTCAGCAGCTCAACACCACTTCCCAAGGTCAAGGCCATAACCAGGCAACTGCTAAAGGCAGCAAGACATCAGGATCTAACATCTACTGCTGAATATTCATTCTCAGAAACTCCTCAGAGAGAAGCTGAGTCTGGACATGAGTAGCTACCAGGAAAAGTGAAGCTACCAGAAAAGCAAGAAGGAGACAAAAGGCATTCAGGCTGATGAAAGGAGAGAAGAGGATGGCTATCGAGGAACACTGATGGCTTCTCATTGTAATGATCTTCCTTTTCTATTTTAAGGAAAACCCCTTCCCTTTGTTTTGTTTATTACAATTATCCTAGGAAAAAAAAAGTGAGATTACAAGAATGAATCAAAAGTTATGAATTGACACGTCATAATTGTACCCCGATGACTGCCACATTCTGCCACTGGATATTCTACATCGTAAACCTGAATTTCCTGACAGAAAAATAATGCAAGTTGGTACAATCCTGTTGACTTGATAATGCAGAAAAATCGCTAGGAGTTGGGAAGGTGTGAAAAAAGAAAGAAAGAAACTGAAGCTGTTAAAGACAGAAATGAGAAATCCCATATTAAACCAGCCTGTGAAAATCTCAAGGCAGTTACAGCACTGTAAGGGAGAGCAGCTTGCGAGGGTGTGCTGGGCTTGCAGATCTATCAATGGTCTCAAAATCAATTTGGAGCTTAAAGGAGTCTGATCAATGCCTCAAGAACTGTGCCTGAAAGTCCTTATGTGACTTGTGGAAATGTACAGAATTTTCTTAGTCCTTCCCTACAGAGCTTGTGTCAAAACAAACTGAGATCAGCACCTGCGGAACGGCTGTACTTGAGAGAGACTGGTTTTACACACTTGCTGGTGTGAAACACAAGCATCTGTGATGATGGACACATGGGCACTGCATTCCTTCCACAGGATTTGTACCTCTGTCGTGGCTGGGTTGAAGCAGAACTTTGGCTGCTGTCAGTGATGCTGTATTTCAGCAGTGTCTGACCCTTGTGGGCTGCTGCAGTGGCCACTGGTTTCCCCCAGCAGCCCTGGGCTTGGAGCTGCTCAGTGACTAGGGTGATGTTAAGAGGAACATCTCAGGTTGTGTCACCAATGATGCTCTGCACAGAGCACTGCCAGGTTCCTCCGGGTGATTTCACTACTCACTCTCATTCCCAGGCATTGAGGAGATGCTCCTCTATCTGCACCATGTTTCAAAGTGTGCTACTTTGCCAGTGAAAGACTTCCCACCTGCAGCTTCCCTTTCCTTTTCCCAGGGCTGAAGATTCTGATCTTAAAGAAAAGATTGTGAAACGATGTCCCAGATTCTTTCCTTTTGGAGTAAGTGAGCTGGCAGCGAACCTCCCCTGCTCTTCTTTCCCCCTCTTTATTATAGTTACATCAGCTCAGTGCTACACGATGAGACTGAAACATCAAGAGCTCACTACTGAAAAAGGTACTTAGAAACCTGAGCCAGGCTGTGTCCCTTCACACTTGTTTAGTGCACTGTAGGCAAGACTCACGGGGAATATGATAAATTTATGCTGTTAAAATCCAGCAAAGAAGTGGAAACTGGGCAGAAACAGTGTCTTTGTGCCACTACCAGAGTAGGAACAGGCACAGGGGAATTCTGCCGCTTTTGGCACTGCTCCCCCTGCTATGCTCAATTGGTTTTGATTCCCACGTGGCTGTGTGCACAGACTGGAACCAGACATCAAATGGGATACTAGATTTAGAAGCAGCACTTGAAGAACTCCGATAACTTTTTGTCTTGCAGCAAATGCTTTTTTTGTTTGGTTGTTTCTTGCTTTTCTAGTTCTCCTCTTCCAAGATCAAACTGTGATATCCGCAGGCAGAATCCCAACCCCACTGAAATTAATGCAAGTTTGCCATGGACTTCAAGGGGACTTTGGTTTTACCCTGTATACTGTAGAAAAAGAATCATCTTAGAATCATGAATCATGGGATAGTTTGTGTTGGAAGGGACCTTAAAGCTCCTCCAGCTCCAACCCCTGCCCCGGGCAGGGACACCTTCCACTAGAGCAGGTTGCTCCAAGCCCCTGTGTCCAACCTGGCTTTGAACACTGCCAGGGATGGGGCATGTAGGTTAACAAGAGTTATGATGTACTCCAAGATACATAAAAGAGCAGCACTTGGCAAGTGATGTACTGTTCCTTTTCAAAATAACGTGTTTTCTCTTATTCTGAGGATAAGAAAATAATTTCCAAGTAATTTTAATGTGGTTTAGTATTTAAAAATCTCTGCATTAATAATCATAATAGGCATAAACCATGACCTCTAAGTTTTAACATTTATAAGACTACAGGATGTGGCCACAAGTGTGTATGCACATGGTGCAAGTGTCTCAGTGATGGAAAAGTGAGGCTGCACTGTGGTATGTGGTATGTGGAGTGCCTTCTCCATTACTGAAGCAGCATAAGGAGAGAGAACAAAAGAGCAAGCATAAGCATTCAGCAGCTGCATGCTAATATTAATTACAATGGAAATTAATTACAATGTAATATTAATTACAATGGAAAATATTTTGAATTGGGGCACATGCAAACTCCACAGCACTCAGCTGTGATGTGAGAGTCTTACTGGCACCAGTATGGGATCACCTGGGAAAAGAATTCCCAGGTTCCTAACTTCTACACAGCTCCAAGAGGATGCTACTGGACTTTGTCCAACCTGTGACATCTCTCACACATGCGCTTTGTCTTATTGTCTCTGTCCCACAATGAAGCATATGAAGCCTGTGAAGCATGATAAAGTATGTGCTGAGAAGGTTCTATTTTTCATGGAATCTGAACTATCCTGAATCACTTGCTGTATAACTCTGACTTGCGATTCTCCATCGGTACCTCACCACTGGGAGCTCACCACATGTGTGTCATTCTGATTGCAACCACACACCACACAGCCACGGGTCCTCTGCCTGGATGCACGTCTCAGTAGAAAGCTACCTCTGCATATTGACCTTCACTTTGTTTTCTGCTGCTGTTTTTCACCTCTAAGTTACTCATGGAAACAGAATGCATGTGAGGTGACAAACCAACAAGTGAGGAGAACTCTCCAGCTCCTATTTGTATGTTTCAGTTGCCCAGAGCTGATACACAAACAGACAGTACGTGCCAGGCCTGACTCTGTCTGTAAAATACAACATTCAAATTGATTTTTCAAAACATCCTTTCTTACCGTCAGCTTTGCTCCCCTCTTCCATCAGGAGCTTTGTAATGTTGAGAAAGCCTTTGGCAGAAGCCAGATGGAGAGGTCTGTCTCCAACTTCCCCGCTCGCGTTCACATCAGCTCCGAATTTCAGTAAGAGGTGGGTTACCTGAATAGTTTATCAAATTATCACATGGAAGTAAAGCTTTTGACAGAATTAGACAGAACATTGCAGTGGGCAATACTATACGTGGCATATCTTTAAAGCTAAATCAGGCGAGATTCAGTAGAAAACTTATTTTTAAGCTGTATAATCCATATAAATATTTAAATTCTCAATAGCAAGGACCTGTTCACTCTCTAAAGTGTTATGTACGGCAGAAGGCTCGACACAAGACACGTGTGTGTTTAACTGACCAGTCAGCAAAATAAAGAAAATGCCCTCCAAGTGCTCAAGTGCCAGAGCCTTTGCTTCCTTCCTCATCCGAGCCTCTTCTCACGGGAGCACCAGAGGAGCTGTCAGCACAATTTGACAAGACTGTGAGTATTTGTTCAGAAGTGGCTCCTGGCAAATAAAGACACTCCTCTCTCACGCCAGCATTCCAGGAGTTCCTTAATGTGGCTGGATGATGAGGTGCATGTACAGGGAAAGCAGCCCCTTGGGAGCACATCCCTGGTTCACCCCCTTGCTGCCCCCAGCCACAGATGTAGAGCATCTTCACTCCTCTGTGCACCTGGGCTCTGTGCTTTCAAAAGCTTTTCCTACAACACCTCCCTGGTGCACTCGAAGTAACGTGTCACTGGAATGAGGACTGCACTCTCCTAGAGCTCATCCTTTGAAACTTGAACATACCCCTCAATATGTGCTTTTAGCCAAAGAAGGGTGCAGGGAATGACGTGCATAACCCAAAGCAGACCCATTGTCACGTTTCACATAACGGGGCCATTGAAGGCAAAGGGCTGGACTGCTACATTAACCGTATATCAGTTACAGACTGTTGAAGGAAAGAGAACTGGGAGGGTCAGTGCAGCTTTGGTCAGAACTTCAGCTTATGTTTCAGTAAGTCCATGATTTGTGTGCATGAAGCAGGCACAGTTGGACTTGTCACAGGCAGGGACCTCATGCAAACCCTCCTCTCTAAATAATCCTTTTCTCTGTTAACTTCAAGTGGCCACAAGCTAGTTTGTGCATTCCCGGGAAAACCAATGGAATTGCCATTTAATTATTATTCCTTGGAGAGGTTTAAGAACATCTACTCACATTTCTTATGCAATCTCTGAAACATGGATGAACAAACATGAAATGGATTATGCCTCTGGGTCCGCGCGTGTTCACAGGTTACCAAACCTATTTTTGCTGGGGTCCAGCACAGAGAATAAAGTGGATAAATTTCCTGTAGATACTCAGACTCTTGGGACAACTGGGGATTGACTTCAGAATTGTAACTTCTGTGTATGAGGCCTTTTCATGGTAGGACCCTCTGGAATGTAAAGCAAAACTAACACCAAACCTATAGCCTTAGTTACCTGTTCATGGCCATAATATGCAGCAATATGCAGTGGGGTGAAAAAAACTGCATCCTGGACGTTCACGTAAGCTCCATGCTGCAGAAGAATATCAACGGCCTGGAAAGAAACAAGCAGAAAATTCCAGTTGGAAGCACTGTAGACATGTGGGCAGCTCCTAAAACAACGTTTCCAAACCCCACATCGCCAGCTCAACAAAAAACCCCAAACCAGCAAGCCACAAAGGTGAAGAACTGCATCCAACGTGCAGAAGTGCTTGACTTACAGTACTTGCACTGAACACTGAACGTCACTGATGCTTTATAAATAAGCCTGAAAATCTGTTTGCCAGTGAAAAGCCTGAGTTATGAAGTAAGAGGCACAGAAATGAATGTCTGGATTTTCTGAGAATAACCTTTAATTTTCTTTTAGCCATTATGAACAGAGAGCACTAAACAAATCTGTTTTTAAAAGCAGAAAAAAGAACCAAAATGAAAGATCCTTTGGAATGTAAATGTGTGAAGGTAAATCCTCACACGTAATTCCCTCAGTGGGTAAAGGTTTCTTTGTGTTTTAGATGATAATAGCCCTTTGGCTTCAATAAATGACCTGAAGTGTTTGCTTTCCAGTTTCCACTTTCTGGTTCTTTCAGGAGGCTGCTGCTCACCCGGACAGCGATGGATTATCAGACACTGGCTTCCTGAGTAACTGTCCGGATAGAAGCCACAATGAACCACTGTGGATTATGCGCTGGAGCTGAAGCGCTGCTGAGCTTTGTGAAGCATCAGGGACTCTTTAGGCATGCTCAGGGCTTGTACCACAGACTGCCTGAGTAGTTCTACATGTTATTTGGATGAATGCTGGTTCTGAGTCTAACAACGGCGAAAGATGCTGGCCCATGAATCGAAAAGGAAAGGGCCAGCTTCAAAGCTGTGCTGCTGATACCTGCCCTCCCTGCTGAGACTTCCCCTGAGGGTGCCCGTGGCTAATGCTCGCGGTGATGATGCCCATTCTGACAACCACTGCCTAAGCTGAAACCACCAAACCATTTCAGCACGCAGGAGCAGGGCCAGCCATTCGCAGCCATGCCCTTCTCCAGCGCTCGGAGAACGAAAGCCTGTTACCAAGCAACATCAGTGCACAGGGATTAGCTCTTTACACAATTTAAACTGAAATAATTTCTTTCCAGGTGGCTGCCTGAATACGCTTTCTGCATAATGTCCCTTCTCTGGCATATTCAAACGTGGCTGTTTCCCATCAGTTTAACCATTCCCCGTGGTCCCAGCCCTAAGCCTGCCTGGGAGCAGCGCTGCAGTGACAGTTCTGTCTCTCCAGAGCCCAGGGGCTTCAACAGGTCCCTCACATTACAGGAGGCACCTGGGTGTCGCAAGGACTAAGCCATCAATTGGAGACAGGCTGGAGGAGGTAAGGATTGCTGTGGTCCTATGGAATTATCTGTCAGTACCTCTCTGGATACAAATGATGGGCAGTGTTGGCATTCTACATCCAATATTATTTTCCAGAACCTGGAAGTATCCTGGGAGCATACTGAGCATTCCCGATCATACATACATACTCCTGATCAAAGCAAGGACCAGTTTCAACGATCAGGTTGTTCAGGGCCTTGTCCAGTTGAATTTTGATGATTTCCAAGGATGGAGGTTCTGCATCCCCTCTGGAAAGCTTTCAGTGCTGCACCACCCTCATTTTGATTTCTCCAGCCCCTTCCTATAGCGTCAGAATTTCCCTTGCTAAATCTCATGTGTGTTGACACCCTTTTGCTGTGCATCCTTTTGCTACAGAGCCTGGAAAAGAGTTTGACTCCATTAATAAAAGCTTATGAAAGATCCATGAAGCAGCTTAGAGAAGCTGCCTACCCTTCTACCAGCTGAGGAGCACCTCAGCAGCAGCCTCTGCACGTACTCTTACTGGAGGAGTGTTAATGTGCTCAGGAAGTAAATAAAGAACATGCTCAGTCACTGGTTAATGCACTCGACTCCATCCGTGCATCCCACATCCAGACAACTTTCAGTACACGAGTAGCCTGGTGGACGAGAGGTGGGGAACACAGAGCCAGGTCCTCTGTGATTTAATGGCTCGGTGGCTTTCAAGTGGTTCATCTTAGACATTTTTCAGCCAACTACCATCCTAAAACTGAAGTTGTTGCTGTTGGGTCTGGAAAGAGCTGTTTGGACCTGTAGCTTTTACAAGAATATGACTGAGAGTTCTTCGGATCAGTTTGTTTTAATTTAGGCATGCAGCTGCGAGGCTGGAACACGCTCAGTGCCGTGACCACTCAAAGATGGAATTCATCATTTAGATTCATCTACAAGCTCCAGGATGGATCTTTGAGCTGAAAAAGCCCATGTTGAGAAATGTGGATCCAGCTCTGATGACGAACGTCAAAGTAGATGAGTTTTGACACAATGTCCAGTCTGCAGAAATGACAACCATGGAAGTGATTTTGTGATGTCCAGATAAAAAGGATTTTGTGAGTCACATTAAGCAAACTCTACTCAGCTGTCATCAGAGGGGTGCAGAGACAATCATCACAGTTTCACAGCCAAGCTTGATTTCCGAGGGAGAAGAAAGGAACCTTAGGAAACACTGCAAGTTGGCATAGCCAGTACAAGTGTTTGGGTATGGGGAAAGTGACTGCAGGGAGAAAGGGGGAAATTTCTGATGCAAAAAGAGCTTTAAGCTGTTATAGAAAGACCAGAAAAAGATTTTCATCCTCAAGAGACAGTTGGCGAGTCACAGTGCAGCTCGGAGCCCGGGGGCTGTTCCCAATCTGCAGAGAGAGCAGCACTCAGCGCCTCAACGTGCGGCTGTTTCTAACTCAGAAGGATGCTTTGAGCACCCTGAACAACTCTCACTTTGTGAGCTGTCTCAAAACTCTCTTAGGAAAGGCTTACTCAGAAGCTCTTTGAACATTCAAGTCCATTATGTTCACTTCAAAGATAATTACGCTGCTCTGAAGGTCAGGAGGAGTCAACAAAATAAAACCTAAGAAAGAACACATAAGGACTCTGCCTCCTGGACAAGGGGAGGGGCAGGAAATCCCGTAAGAATACAAGATCAGAGGTTATTGACTCTTTAGCAGTTAAAATTTAAATGAGAAGTCAACTTCAACAGTTCAGGCCTTTGCCCAGCGGTAGCCTCTGCACAGCCTTACACTAACTAACCAGCTAAAGAATCTATCATGAGCTTCAGCAGTTCCTTTGTTAATAAAGCTGTTATAACAAAAGCATGATTAGTGGCAAGCATTTGCCTAATTGCCTCCAAGTGAGGAATGTAGCTATGATCAGTCACATCCTGCAAAGGGGCTTTACATTAAATGATGGCAACTCCTATTGTAAGAATGTTAGAGCACACTCTCTCAGACTGAATTAAGAAACTACTCAAGGGGGTTCTGAATGTTTAAATACAACTTGCCAATGAATGCACGGTCAATTGTCAGTCTTAGGGCAAGAAAGATTTAATACTTAATTCACGCTCTTCAGTCAGACACGGGCTCAGACGTCAGCCCAGCAACAAGCCTGTGCTTGTCCTTTTATCTTGGCTGTTCCCACCAGATGAAACACAGGTTTACAGGGAGATTGCTAATGGAAGATGCAGGTACTGGTGCCTGGAAGTAGGAAGCTCTCCCCAGGGTTGCTTTTGCCACAGGGTGGCCAAAGAATGAGATTTTGAAAATGTTTAGCTGATAGTGGTACTTGCTGGACACAGAACCTCTCACACGGCTTTGGGCACTATTACTGGATGTTGGAGTCCCCATTACCTTGAAGCTTGTACAGTCACATACAGTGGTGCTGGCTGAATGCCATGTCTGGGTTCTGGGTCTAGAATGGTTCTGAAAAGGTCTGAAAAATCAGAGTCAGATGAAAGAGCAGGCTGGGAAGATGCAACACTGTCATAAAGTGCAGTGAATGAAGGTAGAAAACGGGGCCTTTGTGGACCACTCGAACAGGCTCACATGAATCCTAGTTTGAACATGCTCCTTGTTCAGCCTGGAGAAGAGAAGGCTTCTTCAGAGGGGGACCTTAGAGCAGCTTCCATTGCCTAAAGGGGCTACAAGAAACCTGGAGAGGGGCTTTGGACAAGGGATGTAGGGACAGGACAAGGGGAATGGCTTTAACCCGCCAGAGGGGAGATTGAGATGAGCTCTTAGGAAGAGACATGAGACGAAGAGCAGGGTCTGCCTTGGCATTTGCAGGGCAAGGCCCAGGGACTTTAAAGAGCCCCAGTGTAGAGAAGAGCATTTGGTACTTCCCACAGAGGAAACATTAAATACATCCCCCATAAAAGTGATAAAGATTACTGAAGTGCTGCGACCCTGATTAACATCCCCATTGTGATTCCTGCACAGCACAATTGGATGCGGTGGTCCCTGAGCTGGTTTTTAGTGACAGGACAGCCAAGGAAAGATTTCCATCACTAGTACGAAGAGCTACGTGTGTGCTTGCAGGGGCTGACACGATGCCCTGGGAGCTCAGGGGTGTAATGCTGCAACAGCAAGGACCCCCCTGCTCACACCTTGCTCGGCGACCCCCATGCTTGCACCCGGAGGTCTGCCCTTCGCAATGAAGGGCTCCAGCTTGTGCTGCTGGTGCTTCTCCTCACTCACCACTGCAACAGATGCACTGGATTGATTTGTCCCCTGATCACTGCTGGAGCTGCTGACTGAAACACTGAAGGTTAATGGCTTTTTAACCGAGTTCCTTGGTGTGACCACCCGTGAAGGGTTTTAACCTTCCTCCACCTTAACCTTCTGCACACACGCAGCCTCTCTGGGTAACGTGAGGTTGTCACCAGCTGCGTCTTGATGCATCCTGTCTTTAACAACAAGAGCAAATGTTCCTGTTGGATTTAAATCACTTTGGAACCATTCGGGAGGCTGCAATGTACAGCTAAATTGACCAGTAACCTCACTGGTGGCCACAAGCCTGGGAAGGTCCTCAGCAAAGTGTACGCACACACACACATATATACACATTCACAACTGTATACATACAGACTGTATATATAGCCCTTAGAGGAGTGAAAACCTGAGGAGAGTGGAACAGCAGGATGTGTATTTCCACTAGAAATGGGGAACTCCTCACTGACAAAGCATTATGAGGGTGAGCAGCTCTTACTGGTGCTTGCAGAAGTGCTGGGATGCGGCTGTTCTGAGCTGTGTTTGCAAATCCCAGCCTCTGTCCCCAGTGACCACTCTGCTGTTTGCTCCTATCATTATTTCACCAGTGTCCACAGACTCCAGAGCCTTCTGAGCCCTGCAGTGGCTCCAGGTACTGTCTCTGTGCACACATACGTCTCTGTGCACATACACGTGCAGTTAGTTGCACGGGGTGCAATACTCAGAGCTATTCAGTGCAAAAAACTCCAGTGGGTGCCTGGTGCAATTTCCAAAATCCTCAGAGAAATTCAGGTATGGGATTAGCTTCACTGGAAACTAAAACCTGCCTGCAAATGCCAGCAAAGATCTATCGGCTTCTTTGAAAGCCTAAATAAAATAGAAAGCGTCGCATATTGCTACTGGCGCAGAGATCTCACAGTTTCTTCAGACTGACCAGAAACAGGAACTTAAAGACAATCTAAAGAGCATAAATGAGGAAGTGTCACCGTGCCTCAGCTGAACCCCAGCGTCCAGCGGCATCAGTCCTCAGAGCAGGTATGTGAGAGGGAGCAGATTTCGGAAACAGCACAGAGGATTTCTAGAGGTCACCAACTGCCCACCAAAACTGCCTTTTTTCTCTCTTTCCACACACACTGTGTAACTATTTCTATATGCATATGTATAGTAACTAGTGTGTAAGTTGGGTGACTGGAAGCGCAGCAGCAGCAGAGCTGGCTTGCTTTACATCAGCGAGCTCAGTGACTGCTGTAACTTGGGAGTTCCTAAGATACATCTTCTTTCTTGCCATGCACATAGATAGAGGTGGTTCTTCTCTGCTGCAAGCTGCACACGTGCCTTGTTCTAGTCCAGCCAAATCTTCTACTTCAAGGGAATTTCTAAGTCTAAAATGCACATCTAAATTCACAGCGTACAGGCAGGTATTAACGTCACCGCTGTTTCCTTCCTTGTCCTAAATTATTCTTTCCTTGCTGCTTCTCTCTCTTTAAAGAACTTGCTGTTTCTGTCTCCAAACATTAGTCCAGCCCCTCTGTAAGTTTAAACTTCTACTTAAGCAGAGGACAAAATCTTTGCTTGCTTAATGGACCCAGAGGAGATAAAAAGCAGAGTACCTGAACTGGTGAGTCCATTTACAGCCATGAACCTCCCAGCACCAAGGTAACTGCACACCCCGTACTTGAAGAGATTAAAATAATAAATACATTACTCTGAGTGAGCTGTTGCCAGGGTGACAGAAACGAGATGAAGTGGGAAATGTCTGAGCTGGGGTGGTAAGTGGTAAGAAAACAGATTCATGACTGACAGCACATCTAGAAAGGGAAGGGCCTGATTATAGGTATCTAGGGAATCTCATCCCTCTTCCACCCTCTGCTCCCCATGGTGATAAGTCTCCAAAGAAGGTTTATCACTATGGATGTTTGAGATTCACACCAGACCTACCCTGACAACAGCTTTCTCTGCGCCAATCTGAAGTACGAAATAGCTCTGAACGGGAACCTCTGTCCCCTCCTGAAGTGAAAATCACGGAGCTCTGAAGCAGAGCCCGTGACAGCTAGAAGAGGAAATGAGACTTCTATGGTGCTTCCTTCACACTCAGAGACAGCATTTGGAAGCCTTGCTCCACATCCAGGTTCAGAAATCCCAGTGTATGAGTGAGTGTGTTTCATCATCAGTCTGTTAGTTAACACTTCTGATATTTAGAGAGCAGTGCCATTTATTGCCAAGACTTTAAAGCACTTACGTAAGGTAAGAGGTGTCCAAACAGATCTGTGTCCTCTGTGCATGTTTGCTCAGTGTAAAAGCACGTGCTCAGGGGTTTCCCCAAAGTACAAAACATTCAATACAACTCAGCTGTACTCAACCAGTCTGAGCTTTGTTTGGAACAGCATCAACCTGAACCACAGCGACCTGCTGCTTTCTGCACTCACGGAGGCTTCCAGCAGCGGAGGAGCAGCATACCTTGTGGTGGCCGGCGATGGTGGCGATGTGCAGGGCCGTCAGCGCTCCGTACCCGACCTGCTGGATGTCAGCCCCGCCGTGCAGCAGCGCCGTCAGCAGCTCCGCGCTGTCCTGGAAGGCAGCGAGTCCAACACGTCAGTGCCAGGCACGGCTCTCCCAGAGAGCCCTGGAGAGCTGCATGTGTGTGCTGAGACCTCCAAGACCCCGGGGGGACCTTACTGCGGTCTTCCAGTACCTAAAGGGGTCTATTAGAATGATGGGGAGAGACTTTTTAGGCTGTTGCGAGAGGACGAGGGGTGGTGGGTTTAAAGTAAAAGATGGAGATTCAGGCTGGACACGAGGAAAAAATTCTTTACAATGAGGGTGGTAAAACCCTGGCACAGGTTGTCCAGAGAGGTGGTGGCTGCCCCATCCCTGGAGACATTCCAGGCCAGGCTGGATGTGGTTCTGAGAAAACTGGGCTAGTTGAAGATATCCCTGCCTGTGGCAGGGGGTTGGACTAGATGAGCTTTGAAGGTCCCTTCCAACCCAAACCACTCTGGGATTCTATTTCAAGCAAAGGGACTGACCATGACACCAGGAGCACGGGAGTGCAAAGAAAGGGTGGAGGGAGTGTTTGCCCTGGGCACCAGAAGTCTCTCTTTTGCTAAACTAAAGCCTGCATCTAAAGTCCTTATTGTGATTACATATGTCTTTAAAGATCCCGGTCTCCAAGCCACTATTAAGTGCTGACACAGACTGTTCTCCATGTTGAAACATGACAGCAGCTAACACAGCAGAAGGGCACCTGAGAGGCTCCCAGGATAGCATGACTGCCACACTCTGAACTGTGAGCTTGTTTTCCGAATCATTTCACTCCTCTTCTGTCATGCACAGTTTTAGCTATGACTTCTTGCAGCAGCAACGGGCACTATCAAACAGTAGTAATAAAAATCAACTTGAGAAACAGTTAAGAGTCTCAAGGCCCAGACAATGTGACCAGCAATAAATTCTGCTGCACAAACGGTGACACTAAACACAGAGAAGTGAAATAATGGGAGTGGTGACAGAAGTGGCAGGAGAAACCAGACCATCTTGCGCACCACCACTTGCTCTAACTGCACCAACTAGAGCTACAATCATTCTCCCTTTTTGGGGAGCTGCCCAGAGATGAGCCTTCTCCAATCCATTTTCATTGTCTCCTGGGAGGAAACACACAGCTCAAGAGTGAAAGAGGTGCTAAAGGCTCCAAACTTCCTCATTGTTCTCCACCTCTTTGAAGTAGTCACTAGAAGAAGGGCAAGAAGGAACCAATGCCAGAGAAACAGCAGCTGAAACATGTCTGTGAAAGCATAACAAATGTTCATAGTGAAATGGGTTTCCTGCTTTCAGGAAATACTTGCAATTTCCCTTTGATAACAACGGACAGTTAAAGCTGACATCATTTTCCCTATCAAATAGTTTTAGACCTTGAAACATGGTGCTTGGGTGGATAATGGACGGGATATTGTGCAGCCTGGGAAGACAGGCGGAGCCTGAATTATCTTGAAATGTTCTGTACTGATCAGTGACTCGTCCCACTTCTCCCAGTTCCGTTTTACCCCGAGGAAATGCCACAGAAAAACCCAGAATGCAGCTAAGAAGCAGGCAAGGAGTTTCTCAAGAAGTTTCCCTGCCTCAATATACACCACTGTTGTTATGAGGTATCTTTAGGCTCCTTTGTATTTTACTTAGAAAAGAACTAGAATACAACAGAATCTGTCATTTAAAGTCTCAAAATGCCACTTTTGGGAGAAACATTACATTGCATTCTATTTTACATCCCCAAATTCACACGAGTTTGCTTTGCTTTGTGGAACCTGCAAAGGATATTGGATATTGCATCACATTACTTGAGAGATTAAATAAGTTTCTGATATAGTTTTGTGTCTGAGTGGATGGAAGAGATTTATCAACTATAGATTGCAGAGCAACCAGACAAAACAAGATTTGATAGCAAAATCAAAACTATTCCCAAGTAATGGAAACACCCGGGAAATGTGATATAAAATTCCTTTTAAACAAAGGAATGGTTTTTCAGCTAAATTATTGATTGGGAACCATTCACTGAGACTGACATTAAATAAAGCAGAGAAATTCTTCCAGGCAGTTGGCTAAAAATGCAGCACTGAGCATGGGGGAACTTCCTTTTATGACTGCAGTAAACCACCACCTCATCCCATGATGTACGAGTGGAAGCCTGTCATCGGTTTATAGCGTGCATGGCTAACAGGTACCAGTGGCTGTAAAATTAAACTAACACAGGAATTCCAAGACATAATACAAGATACATCAAGTGCTCACAGCACAGCAACTAGGAGAGTTACTCCTTGTAACTAGGAGAGGAGGTGGCTCATGGGCAAATGTGGAGTTAAGCCTGGAGTTGCAGAGCATCCTCAGCATCCTCAGCATCCACAGCACATTGTGAGTTCCAGGAATCCAGCTCCATGATGGAGTCTTCAGCCTATTTAATGACCACTTCCCTGAACACAGCTGGGGCAAGGTCACTGTTCTAGAGATGGGATAAATGGAATCCAGCATGTGGAGCAGGAAATGGGTTTAGCTGGTCCACAGCAAACACTGGATACGGGGCAGTGTCTTTCTTCCCAGCTTTGGACAAAACCACAAACGCTGCTGCTGGCATCTCTTCTTTCCTTCCCCTCCTACTGCCCCCTCTGAATAGCAAAACCATCACTGCATTGGGGGCCCAGTGTCTGCCTTGCACAGACGATACCGAGGACTGTGCCATGTGTCCCAGGAATGCTGTCCCTACACAAACTGTGGTAGGCTTTCCCCCGACTCTCCCCATGGGAAGGCTGAGTGCATGCTCATGCTGGGTCAGCCATAGACTGGCAATATGAGCTCAAATCTCTCCAGGAGAGACTTGGGTTGTCTCCACTCTGGACAAATATTCTAATCACCGGGTTATGTCCCAACAGAAGGCAAACAGTCTCCTCTCCTACAAGTGAGCTTTTGGGGAGGAATGAGAGT